CTATTATTTTCCTTTATTGTTAAATTCTTCTTAAAAACCTTTTAATTGTATTTCAAACGTTTTGTTTTTTTTCAGTAAAACTTTATAGTTTATCTGTTATTTTCTCTACCCTATGTCAAAATGGCATCAGTCAATTCGACTGACCTCGTAACCACCAAAATAAATCTAAATTACCTTTTTTTTTCTTCCTAGAATGACTTCAAATTGTAACATGAAACTACATTTGTTTATCCTAAGTAGCTCTAAGTTCTTAACAGTGTACATCTATTTATGATTAAATTTTATTGCCCTTTGAACCATGTCTAACTATTATCCACACCTTTATAAGCTGTAAATCACTCGGGGAACATGCAGCTCACATTACACTAATGAATTACATTACCCATGAGCTGCTCGCATGTGTGACTCGTGAAACATTTATATTATAATATGATTATTATTTATTTTACCTAATGTTAACTAACCTAAAAGGATCCTTATTTTTACATTTTAGTTACTTTTATAAGTTTACATAAAGAATAAACATCAAAAACAAGAAATGAAATACTTAATCAATCTTCATTTTTCTTGCCGTCGGGTTTTGAAGAGAGTTAACCCTAATTTTTATAGTAATGAACTTAATTTTTATTGAATTAAATAATGCACCAAAGACTAAACATGCAAAAACTAGACAAATTCCCTTACATCTGAAAATTTTTCTGGCTTTCTAACTATGAGACGAAAGCTGAGAGCCATTACAAATTCATCCAAGCTAGTCATTAACTTTACCATGGGAACGATGTTGGTACTCTGAGTGAAATTGACATTTAACCATTCAGAACATAATGTTATACAATACATCATTTGATAGATGAAGACCTTGTCTTTCTGTTAGTTATAAGTAATATATAATGAAATGTAAGAGAGAACTATCAATGAGTTTTGAAAGAGAGGATGTGGCAGGAGGGGTCTGATTTTGTAGTTGATAGCTCTGTAACCTAATAGAATTTAAGGTTATAAAAATTATGGTTTGTCTAAGAAATAACTATTTTATAGAGAGTAATTTATGTTTAATTTTATACTTTTTTGAGGGGTGGTGGATAAATAGAGATAATGATATGCTAAGAGAAAATGTGTCATGTGGGTCACACTGGTGGAAATTCAGAATTTTTTTAAATATTGCCTTGTATAATTAAGAACTTAAAACTTATATACTGTATACTATTAAAATAGAGATTATTAGCTAAGATTTTATGCTATTCTAATTGGTATAACGTAAACAAAGAGTAGTTAAATAAAATTTCGAATGTAAGACACTAAAACCTTGTGTCATGCGCAGTAAGAGATACCCATGGTGATAGGGTTAAACTGCATACACAGTGCATGACTCGTACAGAGCTACATAATGAAACTTGTCATAACTATCTTTTATTGGTATTATTATAAAAAAATTTGTGCGTCCATGTGTTACTAATAAAGTATTTGCTGCTATTTATTTCTTCATATCTAGGGAAAGTGGAAACCATCATTAACCATCTATAGTTTACTGATGTCCATCCAAGTACTTATGAATGAACCTAACACAGATGATCCCTTGATGGGTGACATTGTATGTAAAGTATATACTTTGTTTGCTTGAATAACACATACTTTTTTTTTTAACCATTAGCATTGAAGTCAATGTTTACTAAGTATATATACATCAAAGGCATTGTAAGCTATAATATCCAAGTCTGTTTTACATAGTTCCATTTAAAAAAATTTATTATGTACTAGGCATTCTACAAAGTCATTATACCCCTTATCATTTGTACAGAGCTTTCACTGATTTTGGAAACTATGATAATTAGATAATGTGGAATTAAAGAATGAATTTTTATTTATATATAAAGCCTAAAGTTTTTCAAAAAAGTTTGTGTCTTTAGTTCTGAAGTTTTATTATTATTTTCTTTTATTGAATATTCTAATTAGTTTGTACATTAGAAAGTGCTTTTATTTTTAACACTTTGATATTCAGAATGTAAAATGAATGTGCATTTTTAAATAGAATAGTCCTGAATACAAATAAAAATCTTTTGAAGGTAAAATCCTGACAATGTAGTGATAGAAATCTCTTTATCATAATTTTGGATTTGTCTTTTAAGATGTTGAGTTCAGACCTTAGATTTCTGCAGAAATGTGCAACATCTTTTATTGATTTCTGCATTTTTCATCAGAAAGTTGGTTTTAGGCCTCAGACTTTTAAAAGTGAGATCATTGCTTTTAGTTCACAAAAAAGTTCATCTATAGTTTGAACAAAATTGTGAAGCTCTTTTTCTCATCATGATGGTTTCAAGATTACAGAGCTCTCATTCTGTGCTTTGAGAAGGATCTTGAAATGTTGATTGTTCAGTGGGTTAAAGTTCACTATATGTTATGCTACTTTTGTGAGTTTCCACTTTTGAAGCTTTGATGTTCCTTGATTCATTCTTCTAGTCTTCTGACTGTTGAACCTATATACTCTTGTTTGCAACTCAAATGTTCAAAACCATAGGAATTATGTAAACATTTGATTTGACTTTTGAATGGAACAAGTTTTTAATATGCATGGGGATCTAAAAAAAACATAGTTAAGTTTAATTTGCTGATAGTCTGTATTATTCAGTTGCATTATCTACCTTCTATAATTAAAGAAAACCAAATTAAAATAGTTGTGTAGGAAGCTTATAGTATTATTAATACCAGAGAAGTGTTGAATCAAGAACTGTTCAAAGCTAAGAAATATTTCTGGAAGAATGCTTACCCACCAAACCTGGTCGACAAAGTGATAAACACTCCAATGGATAGACTGTACCATCCTCCACTGGTGACTTATAATGTACCCAAAAATAAGTTGGCATTAGTATTATGCTATATAGGATATGTGTCATTCATGATAAGAAAAAAAAAATCAAGAAACTTATTAACAGAACCTCCCTGCAAATTAAACAAAAAAGCTTGTTAATAAGAGGACGACAAGAAATTAGGTGAACTGTGTTGAATCTAAGTTGTGTTAATGTTACATTATTATATTTCAATATGCTTATGTCAGTTATTGAAAAAAAGCAATAAATCTTCATTCAACATCCATTGAAGTAATATATGCCATAAATCACACAATAAGTGTTTCATTTAATCTTTTATTCGGTCTGCAACATAACTAAAATCATCCACAAGTTTATGAGATGTCAAATACATACTGGCATCTTTTATTGCAAAGTCAGGTTTTTGCTCATGAGCACGTACATGGCACACACATCATATTATATAGACAGTATCTGTGTAAACCTATTTGCTCGTGTTTAGCTCACTGCATTAAGATATGTGATTAACAAAAAGTTTTCAAAATAATTTGTGGCTTAATGTATTGGACATTCAGCACTTCCAAAGCAAACATGAGCCATTGTGTATGGCATCAGTCTAAGGGCAGTTTTATTCATGCTAGTCCTAGGTCTATTTGTTTGAAGCAAGGAATTCTTTCAAATTCTAGGAATCCTACTAAAACAGGCTTCACATATCAAAACAGCTATAGCAAAATTATAATGATGCATACTACTACATGTATATTATAATGCAAATAAGGATCTTTAATGAATGAATAATAATACTTAATAAAATAATTTAATACATTTGAGTATTGAATATAATGTGTGTGTGTGTGACTGCCATAACTCTAAGAGGAAAGAACCTAGAAATCTGAAATTTTGCACCCATACTAAATGGATCCTTAGGGTCTGCACCTAGGTATTATTACTTATTCATGTGTGTGCGCATCTTTTTAATGGGGCAAGCTCGCAAAAAACCACATAGAAAAGAGGTGGTTCCTTATATAACAACTTCTAATATATAGAAAAGCCAGTGTGTTTTGGAAACAAGCGTTCGAACAATGGCTTTTATGTTATGTTGCTTAGCAACAAAAGTATATAGGTTATATTATCATGCTAAAAAAGGGGTAAGTATACACACATTATCAAATTAATATCCTGAGCGAAGCCGGTTATTTTCGCTAGTATAATATAATATAATGTGTTTGTTGTACCCCAACCTGCCTGCTGAGATCTGGATTGAGCAAAATGCGCCATCGGTACTCCATTCACGTAGTATGAAATAATACTATCACTAATTTATTACCACTAACATAGTGACAGTGTTTTACCACTGACATAGTAAAGTGACATAGTAATACTATCTCTAGTATTTTATCATTGACATAGTGTGAAGTGATACTACCACTAGTGTTTTACCACTGACATAATGTGAAGTGATACTACTACTACTAGTGTCTTACTGCTGACATAGTGTGAAGTGATACTATCACTAGTGTTTTACCACTGACATGGTGTGAAGTGATAAGACTTCCTGTGTTTTACCACTGACGCAGTAAAATTATGCTACCATCAGTATTTTACGACTAACGTAGTGTGAAGTGATACTACCACCAGTGTTTTACCACTGACGTAGTGTGAGGTGATACTACTACAACTATTTTGCCACTTACGAAGTGAAGTGATACTAACACCAGTTTTACCACTGACGTAGTGTGAAGTGATACTACTACCAATGTTTTACCCCTGACATAGTGTGAAGTGATATTACTACCAGTGTTTTACCACTAACATGGTGTGAAGTGATACTACCACTAGTGTTTACCACTGACATATTATAAAGTGATACTAGTACCAGTGTTTTTCCGCTAACATACTGTGAAGTGATACTACTACTACTAATGTTTTACCACTGACTTAGTACAAAGTGATACTTTCACTAGTGTATTACCACTTACATGTTGTAAAGTGGTACTACTACCAGTGTTTTACCACTCACATAGTGTGAAGTGATAATAGTACCAGTGTTTTATCACTGACACAGTGAAGTGATACTACCACTAGTGTTTTTACCACTGGCATGGTATGAAGTGAAACTACTACCAGTGTTTTACCACGGACGCAGTAAAGTGATACTACCATCCATATTTTACGACTAACATAGTGTGAAGTGATACTACTACCAGTGTTTTCTCATTGGCACAGTGAAATGATACTTTCACTAGTGTATTACCACCACTGACGTAGTGTGAAGGGATACCATTACCAGTGTTTTACCACTGATTAATTAAAGTATCCCGTACTTTCTAATACATAATTACTTTTACATCAAAATCAACTATCATGGTTCGTCGATGTATATTTGGATATTACAATTTTTGTTTATTTTATAGT